GTGAATAGAAAGTTAAAAAAAAAAAAAAAAAAACAGCACAGAAATGTCAAACTTTTGTAATATTATAAATATCTTTATTTTTTGTTTGGATCAATTTAATACATCTTTGCTAAATGATGTTTCATGGTATGCTAAAAATACTATTCATTTCTAAAGTAAAAAAAATACCATAAGCTTTTGAACAGTAGTGTATTTTTTTAATAACCGTGATTTCTAAATAACCATCATGATAACATGCACTTGCACAATGTGTAATAATGTACCAGCATTTGGAATTTCTTATTGTTATCAATGTTGAAAACAGTTGCTTAAGTAGCTTTTGGAAACTGTGATACATTTTCAGCATTCTGTGGTGAATAGAAAGTAAAAAAAACAGCATAGAAATGTAAAACTTTTGTAGCATTATTTTGTAACATTATAAAAATCTTTATTGTTACTTTGGATCAATTTAATACATCCGTGCTAAATAAAAGTAATAATTTCTAAAGTTAAAAAGAAAAATTACCGCGAACGTTTCAACTGTAGTGTATTTATTTATATTTTTTAAACATCATAACTCAGAGTGATGAATGACTTGTCAATCACATTACATGCACTTGCACAATGTGTAGTACTGTACCAGCATTTGGATTTACAGTGCGCATGAAAATCAGTCTCAGTCTTGCATGCTGTACTCTCAACCATGTGTCATGTGACCTGTTTCTTCATTTCCCATTTAAAGGCAGATGACACTTACATCCAGCTGAAGAAGGACCTGGAGTATCTAGACCTGAAGGTGGGCTCTAGTGGATCTGCCTTCACCTCCCTCCTCCTCTCATCTTCTCCCTCTCTCCTCGAGGCATACATTCTTCCTGATTTCCCCCCTATTCTCTATAACAGCTGCTCTGCTCTCTAACCCTGAAGGATGTGTAGAGTGAATTTTGAAATCAATGATTAAATAAATTTACATCAGTCAATATTCACAGAGAGCATTAGGTGATTTTAAACTTTTATTGCTAAAAATCAGATTTTATGCTGCAGTTTAGCAATAAAATTATTTGCGGATGCATGGATGTAGTGACTAGTGATGGCTCCCAGCAGGAGGAGATTTTGATTTCGCTAGAATCTGATTCTGAGTTGTTTTCCTTATGTCCAGTGGCATCAGTGGCCTTAAGAGCTCTTATATAGAGTTTCTCCACTTTTGTCACAAACATTTTATGTTCACCGACTTTTCCGATCCTGTTTGATATGGAGCGCATTACCTGCTTTAATTATTAATTCAGAATTCAAATGTATACATTGCCTAAATTTATACCCACGGTTCACAAAAACCCTTTTATCTTCATTTCAAACAGATGAAAAGTATTGAACCTCTCATCTATTCGGTACACAGTGCATTCTGTCTGAATGTAAGGATGGTGCGCGTAACCAAATGTGACCATTTCATGCTGTGATGTAAACCCCCTGGACCGTTATCGTTGCTCTGCAGAGTCATTCTTATGCGCATGTGCTACTTTGACAGCTTAATTTTTTTTTCAAGGACGCCCAAGGTTGTTCTTTAGGTAAAATATCAATACTGCTCTGATGAGGGATTGTTATAGCATCAATGCAGTTTCTGCATTGTAATTGTGAACATTATGTAAAGGCTGTGCTAATTATTTCCATGATGACATTAAGCATCAAGGAATTACCCTAGAGTCTGAGGTTTTCTGTTAATGAGTGAACGTTTACAGACAGCTGCTCTTACTTATAAAGTATCCTTTAGCCAACTCCTGTTTATCACTAAATTATAGTTTTTCAGTGGGTTTCAGCTTGTCGTAGGCTTCACTCCCACACGGTTCATGTCAAGTTCACCACTGATGAAAAGTATTGATACCTTGCCAAATCAAGAGCAGCGCTTTGGGTGGATCATTGCGGCTCTCCCCAAATACCCCAGTTGCTGTTTGTACGTAAACACATCGCAGAGCTTCCAAAAAGAGTGTTGGTTTGTTTTTTTGTTGTTGTTGTTTTGTTCATCTCGAGATATTATGAGTTTGCTAAAGCACAGTTTGTTTATATGATTTCAACATCCCTTTGTCAATAGGCTGTGCAGTCTTGATGGTTGCTTGATCGATGCAACCGTACAGCTTCTTAGTCTTGATGTTGATGTTAAAGTCTTTGAAAGTGTATGAGCTTTTGCATTTCGTCAACAGGTAACTGGACGTGACTCACTTAAAGATCGACCACCTCGGCCTGTTAAAATAGCTGAAAGTGACATAGATGTAAGTTCTGTTCTCTGTTTATTAAAGCCCACTTTCTGAGCCTTGTCTACCCTCTCGATCTCTGTTTGCTTTGCACAGAAAGCTGTTAGTCAAGCCTGAATTTGTGCAAGTAAACACAGGCATCGGAGTGAGGCGGTGCAAACGCTGTGGGGAGAAGCAAGCGCTCTCTCGGTGTCAAGAAGAAATTGAAATTATTGACGAGGGCTTTTTATATTCAATGCTCAATTTAAAGAGAAAAATACATGCAATGGGAGTTTTATACTTTGGGCTTGTAAATTTTTCAGTTTGATTTTTGTATTCCAGTGCTCTCACTGTTTTTCGTTTGATTGGAGGTAAATAATCTGGAAGTCCTGGCTTTTCATCATTAACATTGTTTCAGTTGAACAATTTATAAGAATTTTGTTGGTGGATTTATCTGCGTAATGAATATTTAATATTGTTAAAACAACAATATATGGCTGTAAAATAATAACAGCTTAATAATTAATCGGAGGGAACGATAAACAGCGCAGAATAAACAGGCAGTGTGAAGAAGACTGTAAACAAGGCACTTCTGCCGCCTATGTTTCTCCCGCACGAGCACACGTACCCTAACCCATTTTTCGCTGAGAAAATGCTGTTTGTTTCTGCAAATAATGACACCAGAATTGTCTTGGGTGCATGGAGTTTATGCTAATGGGTATCTTCAATAGTGGGAAATGTTGAATATGGAATAGCGGAAGAATGTATTCTGTCGGCCCTCTGTTTGATATGTTTGTGTGTTAATGGATTCAGTTCAGTCGTGGCCTCTGTTTGGTGACCATGTTTTATTGCTGCTTGTGATTGTCTCTCCAGGTAAAGCTTAGTAGGTTATGCGAGCAAGACAAGATCCTACAAGAGCTGGAGGCCAGGATACGCACACTCAAAGAAGATAAGGTGCTTTTTTTTCCTTATCTAAATTCAGTATTCCAAATCAGGCTTTAAGGATATTGAATTGTGTATCGACTGAATGGTAAAGCAAGGCAACCCAATTTATGGCAGAAATCATAATTGTCATTTCATATCAATTAAGCTGTATACACTACCATTTAAAAGCTTGGAGCCAGTAAGATTTATATTTAAATTATTTTTTGTAAAATAAATTAATACTTTTATTGGTAACACTTAAAGCTTTTATGTATAATCCATTATAAATGTAGTTTTATGCCTTGTAATGCACCTTATAATGCTTTGTACAGTCTCATGAATAATCGTAACCACAGTTAATACATTATAACACTTATGAATTCATTGTTACACTATACATTTTAAATTAGTTTATAATTTTTTACGACAATATATAATGCATTACAATGCATATTATGAATAATTATAATGCAATATACCCTTTAATAACCCTTTATGATGCATTGTACATAAAGGCTTTAAGAACTTAGAAAGGATGTATTAAATTAATCCAAAGTAACTGTAAAGATCATGTTAATGTTACAAAATAATGTTAAAAAGTTACACATTTCTATGCTGTTCTTTTTTCTATTCATTAAAGAATCCTGTTAAAAATGCATCAAAGTTTCCATTAAAATAATGGCTGCTGAATTCCAGCTTTGCCAATAAAAGTATTTTAAAATATATGAAAATAGAAAAGTTATTGTAAATTGTAATCTAATTTTTCAATATTACTGATTTATTGTTGGTGAGACTAATAAGAGACTTCTTTCAAAAACATTGAAAAATCTTACAGACCTCAAACTTTTGAATATCCCAAAGATGTCTACTCTGCACAATAAAAATATGATTTATTCTGTGTCTATCCCTATGTTGATTATAATGGATACATTGTGGTTTGTCATGTCAGTCGCTTGAAGATCTATTTCTAGTTTATCAAACCCTTTAAAATTACTTTTACTGTTGTAACCTAATATAGTCGGATTGATTTCACCACAATTTTGACTTGAGTATAACCAATTTTAGATATATAATTAGATGTTGCTACATAAAGCAAAATTTAGACCTCAGTGGAATGCTGTTTTCAGAATTGAACAATTGTGCAGCCCTAATGTCCAACCTGATGTCTTGGTCCCTAGTGCTACTTCTTTATCTGCATCATCTTCTATTTTTCACCCAAATCTAGGACAAGCTCGAGTCAGTTCTGGATGTTTCCCATCAGCAGATGGAGCAGTATCAGGATCAGCCCGCCCATGCAGAGAAGGTTGCCTATCAACAGAAGTTGTTGCGGGAGGACGTGGTCCACATCAGGGCGGACATCTCACAGGTGTCCACGGTGAGGACACATACCATATCTGTGTTAAAGGGGTCCTATTATGCTCTTTTACAAAGTCTTGATTTTGTTTTGGGGGTGTACTAGAACAGGCTCTCATACTAGGTTGTTCGAAAAACACATTATTTTTCACATATTTTACATTATTACAATACCTCTCTCCCCAGTCTGGCATGAACGGCTTGAATAGTTCCTGTATCAAATGAAGGCCCGCCTTCTGAAATACGAAATGTGCTGTGATTGGTTAGCAAGGCCAGTGTGTGTTGTGATTGGCACCACTCGGCGCCTGGTCGGGAGATGTCATGCCCCTTACCCAGTGGTGTATAAAGTACCTGAAAGCCATACTCAAGTAAAAGTACAGATATCTTACCAGAAAATGACTTTGGTAGAAGTTGAAGTCACTGTTTAGAATATTACTTGAGTAAAAGTCTTAAAGTATGTGATATTTATTGTACTTAAGTACGAAAAGTATTTTTTAAATCTTAAACGTACTTAAGTATTGAAAGTAAAAGTACAAGTAAATGCAAAATGGAAAAGAAGGTGATGATGACGCAGAAGGGCACTTCAAGAAACAGTTGTTTGGTCCCCTACACCCTTCGAAGCTCTCACTCCGGAGGGTAAATCCTTTAAAGGGATTAGGGTATAGGGATGAGCCCTTACGAATGGAACACAGGGTGTGTTAATGAGTGAATCACTGAATCATTTATTCAACCGATTCGTTCAAAAAGCTGATTCATTCAATAAGTAAACACCGTCCTTTGCTCAGAGATGCAAAACAGTGCTGTGATCTTTGTTTGGAACTATTTCCGTTGGCAAAATTGAGCAAAAACAAGCAATATTATGTCTAAAATGTAAGTCACTTATTACTTTACTTAACTTGTATAAAATGATTATTAAATGTGTTATCATGCTGATATCTGCAGAAAAACAGTACACTTTGTGTGATATAGATTAAGTTAACTATATTAAATTATATAAATACAAAAAGCATACAGAAGCATTTTTGCCTTCTACAATTTAGAATGCCTGGAATTTTAAATTTTTAATAGACTAATAAATCAACGTGCGTGAACTCTGTGTGTGATTTGGTGATAAAGCTTACTTGATAATGTCCGATCGCACATCATTACAACAACACTTACCATATTATCATAGTGGAAAATGAATCATCCGCGGTTACAGACTAACTAAAGTTGAAAAAGTGAAAAAGCATAATAGGACCCCTTTAATACACTCGCAGAAGACTCAAGAACATCCATGAAATACTAATATCACACTAAGCCAAAAATGAATGTCAATGCAATACTAATATCAGCTCATCGCACTTGTATTGAGGCTTGTTCTGTGTTAAACAGGAGATGGAGAACGCTTGGGCAGAGTACAGCCAATTGGAGAGAGATGTGGACAGATTGCGTTCAGCCCTTCAAGACCAGATGACCCACAGTGCTCTCTCTCAGGTCAGAACCAGAGAAAGAAGTTGAAAAATGAGACACAGTCTTTCTTTTCTCAAGCCCAAAATTGTATTTCAGCTTTTATCTCTCTAATGCGTGCTTCCAAACTAAAGCATCAATACTGTTTGAGCAGCAGAGTGTATCAGAAGATGTTAAACCGTGTCAGCCTCCTTTTCTATTCAGCATGCACCTCTCAGTCCGGTAATTGATAGAGAAAGAACAAAGTGATGAAAGAGAAATGGAGCTCTCGGAGCCGGAGTGAAGATCTAATGTCAGTTTTTGATCAGCGTGATAGAGCCGTAAGAACGAGGCATACAGTGTATAAGATTATTGATTTCTCAAGTGTTTGTGTGAGAGCAAAAGTCAATAAATTATGGCTTGTTCTGAAAATACAAATAAGAGAAAATCCTATCCTTTCTTCAGTGCCCCTTTGAGCTCTAAATTTGCCTCTTACAAAATCAAAGACAAGCCTTAGGGTTGTCATATTTTTTAAAAGAATTATCGCAGTGGTATGAAGGTACTTCTGTTCTGTTCTATTCTGTTCTACTCTAATTTTTAGCTTTTAGGTTCTGTTGAAGAAATGTTGTTCTTTATTATATTATATTATGATATGTACTATATTGTATTCTGACATACTGAAAGACAGAAACTCATTTTTAATATTTTATATTGAATGTAATAAAGAAAGACATATGTATTCCCAAGAATAATGTTACATTTATATATTCTGATTTATATATATATAATATTATATATTGTAGGAGTTTTCATACTAAGATTCCAGTCTCTTATATTTACTTTTTTATTCAGTTTTTTCTGTTTTAATCTGTTTTATTTCATTCTAAATGATTATATTCTGTGCTACTGCAGCAGGAGAAATCTCAGCTGAGGAAGGAGCTGTGGCGGATCGAGGACGTGCTTGCAGGCCTGAGCTCCAGCAAAGCCAACTACAAAGTGACCATTGACTCTGTTCGGAATCCAGGTGAGAGTGGGCCCCTGCCTGCCATCACCCCCATGCACTGGAACACAGACCGAGGTACTGAGGTCAAACAGCACCACATGCAACTCTGCTTACTGCATACAGATGCAACTGATAATCATACATGTGTTTTTTTGCCCATATGATATCAACGGGTGGAATATTTGCCTGACCCAGAGAGGAAACTCGTGCCTTCAGCGTCATTGTCCGCAGTGCCTTCTCTCTCTGCGAGCCCATTCATGGGTGAACTGAAAGCTGCTCAGCCCAGCCCTCATCTCAGCCTGGTGCAGTCTACCCAGCAGCCCTTGCAGCTCTCACATACAGCGCACAAGCCAAAATGGGTGAGTGAAGTGAAACAAAGTAATCAAAATATTCCTTCAGTCCATTTATCTGTATTTATGGACATTTCATGTTTACACAATGCAGCCTGAAGAAGACGCTCCACCCAGACCCCCTCTCCCTCACCTCTACAGTCCAGACGAACACCCCCCGGCTGTGCCCCCTCTCCCCAAAGAGACCTCCGTCATCCGCCACACATCAGTCCGTGGCCTGAAACGACAGTCTGATGAACGGAAGCGTGATCGTGAGATCGGGCAGTATCCTAATGGAGACCATACGGTTTGTGCCACTCAGTGATCCAGCCAGTTTTCATCTGTGTATATGGTAAAATGTCAATATAGTTCTGAGTTCTATTTTCCTGGGACCCTAGGTTGAGATACGAGCGTTCCTGAGTGAGCCTGAACTGCTGACAGTTGGTGGCTTGAGCCGTGATAGTGGCTACCAAACTCTACCAAACAGAGGTACACAGAGACCCGTATATGTCACACACTAGGGCTGTCAAAAAAAAATTTGAATTTCGAATGTTCGTCGAATTTAAAATAAAAATCCACATTCGAATGCAAAAATGTTGCATTCGAATTTTAGGTGTGCGTCAGGCAGTATTATCAGTGGCACACGAAATGCGACGACGATGTAAGTGCCATTGCATTTTAATGTTTTTGTTAGTCTATCCAGTTGAACCCACTAGATGCGGCGCTGCTACGTTGTTCATTCAAAATATTGCGGGAAAAAAGAACATCGATGCGGAGATGATGTTGTTTACGTCAAAACCGAAACCAAACCGTTCACACAGAACGCATATTTATCACATTTTCTAGAGGGACATCTATCACCGTTGCACTCGCGTCTCGCACAAGAGAGCCGCATGTTTAGAAAGCCATGGAAAAATTTAAGTTCAACTTTTTAAAAACATGTCTCAAGACTTTATGCCGGTTTTTTCCCCATCCTACTGCATCTCAAGTTTTTAAATGAAGAAAGTACTGCACATTTTAGAGTGTCCTTTTATTGTGGCTAGGCTAAGGCACACCTGTGCAATAATCATGCTGTCTAATCAGCATCTTGATATGCCACACCTGTGAGGTGGATGGATTATCTCTGCAAAGAAGAAGTGCTCACTAACACAGGAGAATGATGTGCGCTACCGGCGCCTATTTTGTACTAGTCGCGACGGTAGTGACGTCATGGCTGTCGCCGGCCAAACAAGTTGGTGTTTTTTCAATGTAGGCTTCAGACACGGGTCACGACGAGGCGTTCCCCATAGCGACCCCTAGAGGACGCAGTTCGAAGTTCCACGAAAGGGAACAAAAGTGTTGCGTTTATAATTTTGTTCAGTGTAAGAAGCTAGTAGTGAATTTAGCCTTAACATTACAAAGGAGCCAAAAAGGGTGCAAATATATAATTTCCACCACTATCATTTTCATCACAGAATGCTGTTTAACACAATACTGTACATAATTTGAGATGGAAATGATGCTGTGGTGAATTTTCGCTTAATACACTGCTGTTCAAAATTTTGGGGTCAGTATGATTTTTCTTTAAAGGTATTAATACTTTTGTTCAGCAAGGACACATTAAATTGATCAAAAGTGACAGTAAAAATAAATTCAGTATAATTTCGAATAAATGCTGTTTTTTGGACTTTCACTTTGTTGAAGAATCCTGAAAAATATGTATCACAGTTTCCTCAAAGAATTAAGCAGCACAGCCATTTTCAACATTAATAATCAGAAATATTTCTTAGGCCCAAAATCAGAATATTAGAATGATTTCTGAAATGCGTGACACTGAATACTAGAGTAATGGCTGCTGAAAATTCAGCTTAAAAATCCTTGAGGGAATTTTTCTGTATTTTTGATAAAGTAAATGCAGCCTTGGTGAACATAGAGTTGGAGAATCCTTTCAAAAACATTAGCAAAAAATATTACAGACCCCAAACTTTTAAATAGTAGTCTGCATACTGCTGGGCGTTGTTGGTAGACATATTAAAGTGTGTGCTTTAAGAGAGTCCACATGGCCAAAAGTGACCATACTGTAGTTGAAGAAACACCCAATTAAGCAAGTGTACCAAGTGTGAACGTGACATCAGGCTGCTCAGTGGGAAACAGTTGACAATTAACCATGTAGTTTGAAAGTACAAACTCCCAGCTCGGAATTTTAGAAAGGATTTCCTAAGAAACCTATAAGATTTGTCTAATCCAGTTCAACTTCTGTTAGGTTTGACAGGCTCATCTTCAAGACTGAACCAGTCATCAAACATTTCATCGTTTGTCACCCTCAGAAGAGGACTCACCACCACAAGCTTGAAGGTAGGAAGCCAACAAAGTCCTGAAATTGTCTGTTGAGAGGCAGGGGGACATAAAGAGTCCGTCATAGTTTGCTTTGGCAGAGCTGACAAACAGCAGGTTGATTAGATGCAGCAGGAGTACAAACCGCTGAGCACATGAAATAAAAGCAGCCAGTGTGGGCTTGGGCCAGACTGTACTTTGCGAATGAATTACTGCGGTAGTGTTGCCATGCAGACTGTGAACACAGTGTGTGTCTCCCACCCTGATGGAATCATGCAGAAAATGTTAACAGAAATGAGCACAGCAGAGCTTCAAAATGAACTCCTCTGTTTCTGGTACTTTTTTTCTCTCCTTATTTTCTCCTTCTGCCTCTCTCTTTCTGACTGACTGTTTTACACTCATTAATAACAACACACTTCATACAAAAAACTGTTAAATTACATTAAATTTGTTATATATATATATATATATATATATATATAGCTATCAAACATACAGTTATTAAAATAGACATATATATGAAGAGTTTATTTGCAAAAACAGATTTTTTAATTTTCAAAAATCATGTTTTTTATTGTTATCATGTTCTGGCGTAATGATGCTGAAAATTCAACTTTGATCACAAGAATAAATTACATTTTACAATATATTCAAATAAAGAAAACTTATTTTAAATTGTTTTTTTGTGTTTTTTTGGTTTTTTTTTTTTTTTTTTTTTATCTAATCAAAATAACCCAACTGCAGTTTGATTGAGATTAATTGGAATGCACAATGGAAAAACATGATTTTTGAAAATGATCATTAGAATGATTTAATGTATATTAAATCATTCTAATATACTGATTTGGTGCTTAAGAAATATTTCTTATTGTTATCAATGTTGAAAACTGGTGCTACTTAATATTTTTGAGAAAACTGTATATATTTTTTCAGCATTCTTTAATAAATCGAAAGTTCAAAAGAAATACAGAGTTCTGGCATGAAACTCTAGATGGCGCAGTCCGATAGGTCTAACTCAATCTGACCTAATGACATCATTATCACATGGCACAGCTGATTGGTTCTCTCCTGTATCGGTAGCCAATGAGCTCGGTGCTCAACATTCAAATATGACTAGTGCTTGCAATAGCAGTTGCAGCTTGCTTCAGAAACCCTCCACCTTCCCCAGCTCCTCCTGTATAGATCTGCTGCGAGGTGATTCATGTATGCTATATGGGGGTTATTTCATGTATGTCATATTTGCAGCAGCAATATTTCTTACGTGGATGGATTGGCAGTAGCAAGTCTCGGTTCTTGCTCTGCCGCAGCAGCAGCAACGTAGCAGATCTATTTCGCCAAGACCAAATAAATTAGCATTGTCATGTACATTACCATGCCAATCCCTCAGAGAGTTGTCATGACAGAACAGCGTTTATTTGAAATAGAATTTAATTCAGATTTGCTGAATAAAAGTAAATTTCTTTTTCAACAAAAGTTGAATACTCACTCCAAACTTTTGAATGGAAGTGTAATTAACATAAAAAACTATAAATACAGTACACTGCAATACTACATGCAAAAACTGTAAGTGAGCAGCAAGAATATAGTAAAGGCATAGACAGACATCTACTGAATATTGGTTGGGTCCTAGATGATTGAGTCTCTCTTTTTTCCCCTTTTTGTTTTTCCTTCCCCTCCTCCCTTTCGCAAATTGTTCACATTTCTCTCTTTGATTTCTCTCTCTCCGCACTGTTCTTTGGTGCGGTTTGTTTCAGCATTATTAACACGTCCACTGGTGTCTCCTAGGAGAGACCAAAGAGTGCCTTGGAGCGACTGTACTCTGGGGAGCCCATGCAGCAGCGTAGCCGCATGAGCGCCGAAGAGCAGCTGGAGAGGATGAAGCGTCACCAAAAGGCTCTCGTACGGGAGCGCAAGAGAACGCTCAGCCAGGGCGAGCGGCAGGCTTCCTCATCTCGTGCCTCCTCCACATCCAAATCCGTGTCTGCAGACCTGGGATCAGTACGTTAGAGCACAATGACACATTATCCTCCAGAGAGAACTATCGCCTTGACATAAATGCACATTCAGCTATTTACACTGTTTTGATGGAGAACTGTAAGATTTGGCGTTAACATGATCAGCATTTTAGTGTCTAGTAGTGTCTGCCGCAGGTAAGTGGGTATGTGGGAGGTGTTGCAGAAGGAGATGTGAGAGATTTTATTATATGTTGTTGGGCCACATGGATGGGCTACAGAATAAGAACAGGTGGGAGTTATGCTATTTGCCAATGAAAGACATGGACTACTAATGTGTTTAGAGGATTAATAAGGAAAGTTGATATGCTACTGATTCTCACTCTTAATGTAGTTTCAAAATGTTCTAATGACTTGTATGAGTGTTTAATTTTAACCTTGGGACATGGCTCCTTAAGGGAGCAGCTCCCATGTTCATCTGGGATAGTGAATCAAAGTAGTGTGCTTTTACTTGGGGGTCTTTGAATAGGCAAAAACCAACACTAACATCAAAATGCTCTTTTAACATCTCTATAACAATAACATAATGCTCTAAGTTATGGGAAACGGGCTCTGCTGTATTAGTGGGCTTATAAACTAAACTAAATTTCAAGCTCTCAAACCTTTTAGCAGTTCATCACTCAACCGCAATAATTATAGCATAACTGAAGTGTGAAACCAGACTCTATTGTGTTTACCTCACTCATTTATTCTTTTGTTTTACACTAATTTCACCCAGTTTCACTTTTCACATCCAGCTTTCTAATAAGTCTTACAAAACCTGCAAAATCATTTTCCCCTGCGATTTGGGTCTGAGTGCACAGAATTATTATTTTTTATTTACCAATTAAACTGTCATTCTGCAAAACATGATTTTATAACTTGGTTTAGCTTATCTGGCTTTTTTTAAATAAATACTTTTATAATTTTACACCTTGTTTTACCAAAATGTATCGAATGTGTACACAATGAATGGCCTGGGTAATGTATGAATGACTTACATGTTTATAATTGTACTGCTTACTGAGCATGTTTTTCTTGTTCATAATAATATAACAGCGGATTGTAGCATAATTTGCAAAAAGAAAATCAATTGCACAGCTCTTTTATGTCGATTTTTGCACATAAGAAAATAAACACTTTGCTAGTAAAAAAAAAAAAGTAAAAGAAGGCAATTGTTCTTTTTCTCTCTACTGTGAATGTGAAACCACAGTTCATTTCCTGACACACTGGTTTATTTTCTTTTCAGTAAGCACAATAAAGCCTGGGAATGAAGCATGTAAATGAAGTCACAGATGGAGCATTTTATTGCGTCTTTCTTGGTTTGCAGGAGTGCTGTAAGCTACGGTTTGAGAGCTTGAACATGAGACACTTCACGCACAATCAGTCCAATCACTTTACATGATACAGAGGTACAGGAGCGCACTGGGACAATATACCATTACGCTCAAGGTTGCAATTTAACCCAGTTTTGTGTGTTGTTTATGTGCAGGGCTGTCCTCTTTAAACTTTTTATTTCATGTAAAGAATGAATGTTGGATGTAAGTTGAAATGTGGAGCACAGAGGTCATTTTGGCTTTAGTACTCTGTCACAAACTCTGTCACATCTGTCCCAGTGTAACTGGAAATGTTATCCTACGCTTAACCTGTCCTGTAAATCAGGTGAAGACCATTTCAGAACCAAAATATTACATTTTCACGTCCCGAGTTGGATGTATGTGAGATCTAGATCGGCCGTCTCAGGACTCTGTGTGTTTGTGTGCCTTCAGTGGAGGAGAGAGCAGGACTTTGATTTGCAGCTTCTGGAGCAGGCCGTGCAGGGTGAAGAGAGACCAGTCGAGCACAGAGAGAGACAGCGCTCTCGGTCAGACGAATGGCTCACCCTGAGCAGCACACCCATGAGAGAACTAGATTTGGAGCCTCTGGACTACCAGCTGGACCTCAGCAAAGAGGTAACCCTACTGCTTAAAGGGATAGTTCACCCAAAAAAAGAAGATTATGACATAATTTCCTTGTTGTGTGGAACAAAGGTCTCAGTCACTATGTGCTTTTGCTTTATAGAGAAAATATGCAGTAAATGTTAATGTTGAGTGAGACAGTACTTAAAACACTGCCTAAATTCACCTTTTCTTTTCTTTTCTGAAAGTCATGCAGGTTTGATATCACATGAGAGAGAGTAAATCCAGACAGAATTTTCATTTTTGGTTGAACATTTTTGGTAGTTCATTTCATATTATATAAAATGTAGGCTTTTTATTTCAAGAGAACAAAAAAAATATCAAAATAAAGAAAATGTTAAACTTAAATGACTGGACGTTAGATTTCAGAATTAAGTGATTGATGGTGTGTGTTTGGTCTCAATGACTGTATAGCTGGCAAAGCCACAAAAGGTGGCCATCCCTGAGCGCTATGTGGACATGGATCCAGAGGAGCCCCTCAGCCCTCAGGAAATGGAGGCCAGACATCGTAAAGTGGAACGAATCAAGAGCATCCTGGCTAAGTCTAGGTACTGGCAGATCAGTCTCATTTAACACAGCTGCTCTTATTGTCATCTTTATAGATGTTTTCTTGCCATTATATATGCTACCATTCAGACGTTTGGGGTTTGTAAGTATCATTATTTGATCAAAAATACTGTAAAAACGATACTGTGAGATATTACAATTTAAATGGCATTTAAAATTTAATTTATTTTTGTGATGGCAAAGCAGTCTTCAGTGTCACATTATCCTTCAAAAGTCATTCTAATATGCTGATTTGGTGCTCAAGAATTATTTCTTATGTTGGAAATAGTTGTCCTTCCTCCAAAGAAAAACATTTATTTGAAATAAAAATCTTTTGTAACATTATAAATATCTTTACTGTCACTTTTGATCAATTTAATGAGTCCTTACTAAATAAAAAGTAATAATTTCTTTCTTGAAAAAAAAACCAAACACTTACTGACCCCAAAATGCTGAGAACCATTGTTACACTTTTCTCTGAGAGTTTACTCTAATGTACCTGTTTCTTGTGTGCATATAAGTGTCCAGAATATACCTCCTCCTGCAGCAGTAGACAAGCCGGTGCTGCCGGACATAGACTCGGCTCTACAGGAGCAAGAGAGAATCATCACCATGTCCTATGCCTTAGCATCAGAGGCCTCGCTCAAGAGCAAGCAAGTGGCAGGTAAACTAACCAGCAGCATTACCACTAACCTGAACTGATTCCTTAAATTCTTACTGATTATTATTACTAATTCCTGAAATTATCTTGTTAAAACACTCCATTTTCTATGGAAGCATATACTGTGTTTTACAAAACACAGTCAAAACTTATTGTAAAAAGCACAAATCATTTTAAATAGCAAGAGCAAGGACAGGGAGTGCACAATGCATGTTAAGGCTAAGGACGCTGAAAGAGAGTCCCATAATAACATACAATCAACAGTTCACACCTGTATTACTGCCAGAGCTCTGTTTGAATAGATTAATTTCAGATATGCTGAGTATATGACAAGTTCAGATACTCTGAAAAGATCAAGGTAAATGTGAAGAAAACACTTCAGAAATTGTTATTTGTAATGCAAATCTGACAGTGTTAATAAAAGTTCCTGAATAATCACACTGACAAATACTGATTAACTGTGAACATTGGGAGAAACGGTCCACCCTGTTTCAAAACATCGGCATTGGAGGCGTGATGAGGAAAAAGAAAGAGCAAAGCCAAGCCTATCAGCCGCAACATTAATAACTGAACATTATTCCTTATTAGCGCAGATCTGACGAGTAAAGATGCTTGCTAATTGGGAGACATGTCGGATCTTTCAGGCTGGGTGGAATCTCTTGATGAGGCCATTTTTTTCAGAGCCGATCAATGACCCAGTTGAATATGCACTGGGGCTTGTTCACTCTGCATCCCGTGGCAGCACTTTGAACATCTTTCTGAACTGGCATAAAAGCACACCATCGTTTCATCTTTACTTCTTACAGAGGCCTCACTCACTCTGCCAGGTCTAACCTTCAGACAGGGTGCAAGCGTGTCCCTCTTAGTCACACAGATTTACAGTCAATTCATCCTGACGTGATGGATCATAATGTGTGAGGCTGGCGGTATGGCGTAGTCAACAATTATCACAGTGTTTCCATTGGAGGACATGTCAGAATACCTTATGTGAGGGATCTCGTCTGTGAAGGCAGGTCAGGGTTTTGATCACCCGCAGCACCACTTTGAGCATTTATTTTGAGTTTATGAGTGCAGACAGAAATCATCTAAAATAGTCAGAGCTGTGGCATGTAAGCACATTTTCTTAACACATCGAATTGTGGTGTTCATGCGGGCAATGCGCGTTGGCTTGACACACTGCCTGGTTCCACTAACCCTGTTTGTTTTGTCTTGTCTGTTCTATGAATACAAATGGTAGAAAAGGCCAGATGTAGCTAAAATTGATACCAACTGGTCCAAACTGGTTTAGGTGGACTACCAGATGGAGGAGCCAAGGACATCCTGGTTAAAGCTGGTAGACTACCTTGGTTAAAGGAATAGTTGCCCAAAAGTGAAAATGTACTACTCACACTCATTTCATTCCAAACCCATATGACTTTATTTCTAACAAAGAAAAAAAGGAGGACATAGTGCCTATGGGCACTGAGGATTTCAATCTTCAAAAAGTATGCAAAAGCACCATTAAGTTGGTCTATGTGACTTGTGTGCTATATTCTTAATTACACTGAGATCCAATCACAATGCGTCCTCGGCTACCTCTGGATCAGGACACGCTGATCGGATAACATTCCAATCAGAAGCGCGTTTACACTTGTCTTTTCAATGTGTATGTGGACAACATCCAGATACAGGTCACATGTTAATGGCAAGTGTAAACGCAGCCTTTCTGAAGTCAAACGAAGAGCAGACCAAAGTCATTATTAGCTGAGAATAAACTCCTTCAGTGAGCTGAGTCTGGTTAATCCACTGTAACTGGATCATTGAGTCAGTGAGCTGAACTTGAGAGTCATAGCATTCAGATTCAGACCAGTTCCCTTTCAGTCGGTCACTCTCGACGTCACGTCGGATGACCGACGAAATTGGGATCTCGCTTAGAGGGACCAATCTACTTCGAGTGTAAACTATATATACATGGAAATATTTTCATTTTTTTCATATTCTCAATGTATGTGTGTGCATTTATATATACATAATAAATATGCACAGTACACATACATATAGTATGTAAACAAAATTTTGGATGCGATTTATCGCGATTAATCATTGTGACAGCACTAATGTTTTTTTTACATTTTTGTTTTATTAACAGCAGCATTTGAGCTGTATGAACGTCTTGGTTACGTATGGTAACCCTCGTTCCCTGAAGGAGGGAACGGAGACGTCACGTCCCGTCGCCACAGCTCCTGTACCACCGCTGAGCGGCCGGGTCACCGGCTCGGCTCCTCAGCGAAAACCTGAATATGCGCTGCATCTGCTGCCTACTTATACTCACGCTGTGATCAGCAGCAGCTGGATGCAATAATCGCATGCCAATGTGCATTGGCTCGTTTAGTTTACACTCGAAGTAGATTGGTCCCTCTAAGCGAGATCCCAATTTCGTCGGTCATCCGACGTGACGTCTCCGTTCCCTCCTTCAGGGAACGAGGGTTACCATACGTAACCGAGACGTTTTGTGAACTGGATCTTCTGATTCACTGAAAATAAATCACTGTTCGAAAGATTGGCCTTGGTAAGATTTGACGTCTTTTTAAAAAGTTTTTAGTCTATTATTCTCAGTAAGACTATACTTACTTGATTAGAAACACAGTAAACACTAATACTGTGAAATATTACAATAGTAACTGTTTTCTATTTTATTATATTTTAAAATGTAATATATTTCTGTGATGGTATTTCTTCAGGCCTCCATGTGCTCAAGAAATATTTCTTATTATTATTAATTGTGGTTTTGTTTCTTTTTCCATAATTCTTTGTATTAATTTCGTTTAAAAAAGGGTGTCCAAGTCAAAAGTTGTTGTATTGCTCCTGGTTTATTCCTCACATACAGTTATCTTATGGCTTCAAATGTAACAAATCATGAATATCGCTTTTATGATACTTTTACGGTGCTTTTCCTTCCTGGTTGAAAACAAAAAAAGGTCCTTCTTTGTGTTACATTGAAGAATGGAAGTCACACAGGTTTGGAATGGCATGAAGGCGATGAATTATGAAATAATTTTTGGTCCCACTTTATATTAAGTGGCCTTAACTGCTATGTACTTACATTTAAAATTGGTACAATGAACTTATTGTGTACATACATGTTTTTACATTAACTTATATTTTAAAAAAATACCTGCATGTAATTATATCTGTAATTCATTTCTGTAATTATATTTATAGTTACACTATTGACCCATCCCTTACACCTTAACCCACCCTTAAACCTACCCATACCACCAAACCTGTCCCTAACCTTACCCCTATCCCTCCTCAATAGCAGCAAGTGTTTTGCAATACAATACAAACACAGTAAGTACATTGTACTAATTTTTTATGCAAGTACGTAGTAGTTAAGGCCACCTAATATAAAGTGGGACCCCAATTATTTTTTTTTTGATAAATATTTGACTACATTGATGTCCTCAGATCGCTCTTGTAGTTATGTACTCACAAATAGCACTTTGTAGTGTGTAGTAGCAACTACTGTAACTTTGTCACTACTAGCTCCCTGTGTGTTACTACGCTCCTATGTTCCTTTTTCTGCTTCAGCCTCACCGCCGGTTAACAGTCCCACCTCCCTCCCTCAACCTCCACCACCTCCTCCTCTTCCTCCCCCCGCTCCTGTTGCCGTCTCTACGGCTCAGTCTGCTCCCCCTCCCCTGAGCAATGGATTTCACTACACCTTTGTCTAATCAGAGAAAAACAAAGTAAGAACTAACTGCTAATCGTTTAGCACGCAAATGTGCTTTTGCTAATTGTTCCCTGTGTGTTTTGGCACCTTTTCTGTCTGCATGCTGCATGATTGTGCTTCATCAGGGCTTGTGCTGTAGTATTTAGTAACTTCATGAGTAGTGTAGATTGGCCCCCCTCTAACAACTGCCTCCACATCTGGAGATGGAGAGGTGTGTGAATTGTGTGCAAATTGGCTTTTTGTGAGCCGATAAGCCTAAAAAGCCATAAACAAATGCTGTCTTTTGTGAATTGTTTGTAATTAACAAAGACACAGGGCATCGCTACGGCAGCACATGCTGTTGTGTTGCCAAACACCACTTGCTTTGCCATCTGTAATCTGTAAAGAGCTTTAGTGTTTTGATGTCTGTGACTCACTGAAATAAACAGCAGAATGACTGTCAGGGTTTTGTGGGGGAAAAAGGAAAAACATGGCCCTTCGTCTTTGGACACTTTATATATGTGTGCATCTCTCCAAAGCTATTTTAGTGCAGTTCATGAAAGAGCATGACCTCCACCTGCATTGTGTGTTCTGCTTCTCAGCATGCCTCAAATCAGTGAACTGCCATGATTTCCCATTTGACACATGCTAATTATGAGCTATTATATGCAGTTTATGAGGCACTGTCCACAAATACAGTACACTTTTGGGTCCCATTAGGTCTTAAAAGCACAATTTTTTTTTGTTTGTTATGATTTTTATATTATAAACTATTATCTAACATGTAAATAAACACAGCATGAAAAGTTAGCTAGTTTTACCTTAGAAGTCTTGATCCTGGTTATGGTTTTAGAATACAATATCATTATTTTGATGTCCCAGGAAAAAAATTATAATAAACATATACTGAAAAATTAACTAACTAACTAAATAAATAAACTGAACTACAGATCTCCTAATGAGTGACAGTACATTACTGTATGTATGTCTATATAAGAATAATAATATAAAACAATACAAATTTTAAATTTCTTTTTTTTCTTGCTTGAAAAAAAAATCATCAGTGTTTTAAACAATATTCAGACATGCCCCAAATATCACAAAAAAAATTACTGAATAGAAAATGAAACACCTCATTAACATCAATATTTAGTTTGACCTACTGAAGTAAAAAAAAAAAAAAATCTTTTAAAGATTTTCTGCCCTGTTTTGTACCGTACTCTGTTGGACAGTGCCATGATTATATTATACTATACGAAAGATTTGAGTCAGTGCATAACTGTACATTTTATATGTTCATTAGCCAATCAATTTAATCACTGAATGCCTGAGCTGGCCGTGTTATTCTGCTGTTTCAGCAGCATTTGTATGAAAGTGAGCTGCATGCTGCGTGTGTCATGCACATGCATGTGTTAAAGTGTGTTTAACTCAGCATTTTCTCTATGTAACATGCTGCACAGAGAGAAGGAGGGTGGAGAGTGTTTACCTGTCTACTATTTAGTAAGGTAATTCTAGGGTTATAAAAAAAGTTATAACCAAGTAAGAAGCAAGTAACATTAAATTAAATGCAGGGCTCGACATTAAGCCTTAACATGTGCTTGTCCTTCGGACAAGTAAATCAGACAGTCACTTGTCCGGGGCGAAAAAAAGCTTCTTTTTTTTTGGCGTAAATGTAATTTATTCTGAAGCAATAGTCTCATCAGTGCTCTATCAGGTCTTACTTTAATCAGCATATTTGTGAAATTTGCCTTAAATTGATTTCTAGGACACTTTAACTTTGTGAAGGACAATATTTTCCTGACCTTATTGAATGTACATGTCATCATTTACGTCACATTCTTACATTTTAACAATACATTGTTAGAATAATAAGACACTATGGTTGTTACCATTCAAATTAAATCAGTATCAACAAACTCCATCTTTCCACTGCAGAGGAAACACTGAAGCTGCATCGAAATTGCCATTTAGATGTAAATCAGACAGTCACTTGTCCGGGGCGAAAAAAAGCTTCTTTTTTTTTGGCGTAAATGTAATTTATTCTGAAGCAATAGTCTCATCAGTGCTCTATCAGGTCTTACTTTAATCAGCATATTTGTGATATTTGCCTTAAATTGATTTCCAGGACACTTTTTAACTTTGTGAAGGACAATATTTTCCTGACCTTATTGAATGTACGTGTCATCTTACGTCAAATTCTTACATTTTAACAATACATTGTTAGAATAATAAGACACTATGGTTGTTACCATTCAAATTAAATCAGTATCAACAAACTCCATCTTTCCACTGCAGAGGAAACACTGAAGCTGCATCGAAATTGCCATTTAGATGTATTTACTCAGACTGTTTCATGAAGATAAGAGGTTCCATAAATGCATTTACACAGTAAAATTGCAAATGCATAAATAATGTTATAAGATTAATGTTTTACTTTTTTTAACATACAAATATGAAATGTTGGAAAAATGCAATGATACTTTTAAATATGAAACCAAAGTACCAGTCGGTGGCGGCAGATCACTGTCTTAATGAGTGAGTCACTGATTCAACCGATTCGTTCAAATGGCTGAATCATTCAGTAAGGAAAAACTGTTATGTGTTGCTCGGCGATGCGTATCAAATAAATGTCACATTTGCAATCGTGCTGATAGTCGGAAAAACATCACTCTTGGTCGTGTGATGTTGCTTACCTATAATATATAGAATATTTATCTTTTTTTTCTACCGCAGTATGTTTTTTCGTGTTTGTTTCAATGAGTGTGCTGTTGCACTTATTAGTTCTGATTTCTCCGCGGGTCACACAGGCTGCGTGAGCCTCAACTGACACGACTTTGATACTGTCAATACATTATCCGTTATCAGTCACCATTTACACTGAAAGTAATAAAATCAGAATCCTTAGTTATGCCTTAGTTATTGTTTGTTAATGACGTTTTAAATGGGTTACTTGTCCGGGCAGGCAAGTAAAATTCTCTTTCACTTGCCCCTTCACAAAATCCACTTGTCCCGGACAAGCGGACAAGCGTTAATGTCGAGCCCTGAAATGAGAAATTATATTGTAAAATCTTTGTTTTATTTACAACTTCAATTTTTTTTTTTAGTGTACAGTGTAGGTACTTGCACCACATGTTTTTAGCACTGAAGAATGTATTACTTTAGTACACTCTTTATGTGTGGCTCTTTTTTCAGTGTATTGTTTTGTTTTGCTTTATTTCTTTACATTTCTCATCTTTCGCTCTTTATCTCTTTTCCAGCCAAAGCTGTATCTGGATATTGAGGTGCTGTCACATTCTGAAAACCCCACTAGTGGTGGACAAACTTAAGCTCAGCTTATCGAATCACATCGCTCACATTTAGAGATGACCTTAGCGCACTTTTGGACTCACATGGGAACTCACTTCTGAAATGCATTTTTTGTAGAGCTATTATTTGATATGGGCTTTTTGCTGTGGAAACTGCTGTGCATATGCTGTACAAAATCTAACCATGATAACCCAGATATAGAGAGCCATTTTATATACATTACTGCACTTTTAATATGCACTGTATTGTAGAGAACATTCAAAGCTCATGTTTTACTTCTCAAGGCAAGACAGATGTTTGGATGGAGTTCAGTTTGAAAACAACGGTAACGTAATAGCTAAAAAAAAAAGTATTATACATGTGTAATGCATTATGAACATGAAGGGTACAACAATGTCATGTCGATTGTATTTTGTCAATTCAGATGATATTCTTACACCAAATCACTTGAAATATTATTTTTATGTATCCAGCACTGCCAGTTTCCAGTTAGCTTGCCAAATGCATTTTATTTTTGTTGACAAAGGTAAGGAAAAAAATAACATTAAATAATATTTTCAGACAGGATTTGTGGGGAAGGGGTTGGGGAGGGAAATGCCACATACTTTTTTAAAGAAACTGTAAATATTAAAGATATTAACAAGCTTTTTGTCTTTTATTCTGTTTGTGTTCTCAAAGAATGAAGGAAAGAGAGAAAATAATTTCAAGTTTTTCAGCTTCAGAAGAAAAATTATGTCAAATAAGGAATTTATGAAATGATTTGGAGGTTTTACATTTGCATCGTCAACTTCATTTTCTGATCTCACCTTGTGTTTTATTCCTTCCATACATATTCGGTTAAAAGAATAAGAATAAAAGAATAAAATATAAGGACATGAAGAGAGAACCTCATTTCGAAATTCCTTTTCCACGTATGTTCTGTAACAACCTCTTATTTTTTATAAAGAACAAAGGTTTTTGCCCGTAAATGTGAAATGTGCTCTTGTCATTGCTTCAGGGATTTCCTTTAAAATGTGCATTAAGTGTTTTGACCTCTTTATGTTGTAAGACGTTATAAAGATAAAGGATTTTAATTTCACACAGCTTTTTAAATTTTTTTGATCTTCATTTAATGTATGTGTCTACACACACACACACACACACATACATGCATACATAAATACACATACCTGTACACATCTTTCTACATTAATATAGTAAAAATAAATTATATAATTATTTAATATATTCAACATTTAATAGATTATGTATTTTAAGATATTTATATACTGTATTCTCACACACACACGCACTATTTACATATACAATCATGTGTGTGTCTTTGTGTGTGTGTGTGTATGTATATATATATATATATATATATATATATTAAATGCTGACCAAAAAAGTACATATACGAATGCTTTTTTTCCCTCAACTCCACATTTTGCTGACTGATTCAATGGCACTTTTGTTTATCTGTTAGTGAGTCAGTATGAAAACCACAGCAATTAAAAAGCGTCCTTTACATGATCGTGATTATCATTGTACCTGCAAAGGACATTTCCTAAGACACTCTTGATTGGACTTTTTTAAATCGTAGTGTAAGTGGGTCTGCACGGCTGTTAGGATACTTTATGTTGCAGCCCTCAAGTGAGATCTTTATCTGTAATTGGAGAGTAATTACAGTCTCTCCACTGCTGTATCTTGTTCTTTGAAAGCACCTGTGAGACATGCTGCTCCTCCCATAGCTCCACAGCAGGAGCTGCCACATCTCACTGCATCTGATTAGAAGAAGTGAGAGGTGGGCTATACTGTGTGTGTGTGTGCGTGCATTAGCGAGCCTGGTGGGCATGAGTTTGATCACATCCGCTTTTCTGCTTATTTTGCAATAAGGGGGCTGTTTTTCCTACTCCAGCAGAAATCCACCCAAGACCATCCACAGAGAATTGTGGCATTTCCATTTATTGATGTTTGGCTGCTATTTCATATACATTTGTTATTCCGCACTCTGGATTTCAAAGAGAATAAAAAAAACCCATTATGCAAATTCTGTCCTGTTCTGTTAAATGCACTGAATGTCTCAGGCACTAATGCGGCACAAAATATTTCACCCTCGTTCACAGAAGTTTAAATGTATGTACGCCTACAACTGTATTTAGACGCATTGTCGTCCAAGGCTTCTGCGACATTGAGTGTTTGAAAAACATTTAACCTTTGTTCAATCCGATTCATTTGAGTATCTACTGCGTTCTTCCATATCAAAGTTGTGGCGCGTCACAGGTCCTGTTGTGTCCGCGATGTAATTCAATTCTTGGATGAATACGTGGTTATTAAGCATAGAATAGAAGTTCCTTGGAAATGCAGAAGGAATGCTGTATTTAAAGTTGAATACTATAAATGTCCTTCATTTGAATGAATGAATGATACACTGAAGAGATTGGAGGGGGAAAATATTGCTCTTTATTCACCGCCCAACCAAACGTGATAACTCTCAGGAGGATTGTGGGGATTTTCAGCAATAATGTCCATGGCAAGAGCTGTAGTCTATTTGAGCATCTTTTTTGTTTTAAAATTCTTCTTTTTTTTGGTAACAATGTAAAAGTCCTTACTAAATAAAAAAAAGTTTTCTTAAAAAAAAAAAAAGTCTTACTGATCCAAACTTTTGAACGGTTGAATTGTTTATTTTTTCTTTTGTGAAATGGTATCATAATGCATATTACAGTGGGAACATATCGAATTTAAGTGGGATGTCAGCTCATATTTTTAAAATAAGGACATATAATAATTGTTGCAATCATTGTTCAATCATTCACACACATGGTAACATGTAACTGATACATATAAAGTATTTTATTGAGGAGGGATTGATGTTCTGAGAACGTCTGTGAGGATGAAGAATCCCTGTCTAGTTTCAGTTTCTCTCCAGTCCCTAAAGCTCCTCCAGACTGTGGAACGAGTCACACTGTAGCCAAACCTGTATGGATGCATAGGAGCATATTGAGTTGGACAAGCCGCCACATTATACATCCAAGGCGAGTAGCATATGCCCATTAATGACCTGTTCTTCACTCAATCGTTTTCTTTCCCTTACTCTTAGACGTTACTGCGATATCCATTGTGTGCACCCAACATATCAGCTATGAAATCACAAATTCACTCCTCTCTGGATCCAGCCACGTCTCTCCGGGCGCTAATAATTCAAAGGCACACAATTACTGTGTTTTAAGACTTCGTGTTGTCTCAACATGGCGTTCCCAACACTGCAGGGATTCTCATAACGCCTGCATCTGACTTATGCATTCACCTAAGGGAGGCTGAGATTCTAATACAAAAGGTACTTTGAATCCAAAATGGTATCTTATGCTCTTTTATCACCATTGATTTACTATCTATATTTTCGGAGAGAGTTGCTGAATAATTGAGGAGGTCGGCTCAACAGCATTCAGTGTTCTTTTATACACATTCCTGCATATCTAACAGAAGAATAGATAAAACTAGAACGGAATGTAGGCGGATAATACCTCCGAGTCCCGCCACAGCTTCAGTAGTACAGCAGAGCAAAGATCTACCCGCGATGTAAAATGTCAAGCCGTCTTTGTTTGTTCTCGACAACAATAAAGATGTTAATATTCACCGAGACTAACGTCTTGGCTTTCTGATTCAAACAAGCGAACAAGATGAGAGAGAAAACGCAATCGTTCCAGACAAACGATTACTCCTGCATGTGTAAAAAGAGACATTTTCCCTAAATGTCCCTAAATTTACAATACCTACAGTGAATTGGGCTTTTTGTAAACATAAATGAGGTAAATGTCCTTGGGCTTTTCAGTTGATCCAACAGTTCTTTTAACTTCAGGAAGCCTTTTTGTTGCACCTCTCACATCAAATTATAGCGAAGCACTGTCTCAAGGCAGAAAAACAACACTTCGGCTTCATTTTCTTGCTGTGTTTGCGAAACCTGCCAATTAATCATTGATGAAACCATTTAATGAGGCTCACCTAAAGCTTCTAGTGTTCTGCGCCAGCTCTACGCTACATGTTTCTTAAGGGGGTTTTCAGGGATGGGAAGTTCATGTGCATATTTACCCTCCATTAACAAAGACTCCGAGTTTGCATTGTATTGAAAATAGTCTTCCAGGGTCAATATTAAAAGCCTTTGCTTTAAAGTTAACTTCAGTTTGAAAAAGCACAATTAAGAATCAGTAGTCTAATTTGACCAGAAATGTTCTGTTAATGCTGTGTTTGAACCTTGAATCTGCATTTTTCAGATCAGAAACTTTTTACTTTTACTTTTTACTTTTAGTCATTTAGCAGACGCTTTTATCCAAAGCGACTTACAAATAAGAAAAAGTAATTAAAACTAAAAGCTAAAACTCTATAAATACTATGTATATATATACACACACATTTAAGAAAATAAAAGAAATTAAATAAAAATGACAAATGCATACAACAACATTTCAAAACTAAAACATTTAAATGAAAACAAAAAAAATAAAGCTAAAAACAATTCAAACATACACAAATAAGAAAAAGTAATTAAAACGAAAAGCTAAAAGCTTTTAAGAAAATAAAAGAAATTAAACAACTTACTGACACATAGTAAGAAATAGTTTATAAAAACCTGAAACAGAAGTGGAAAGAGGAGAGATAAAAAGCGATACTTATGTCCTTTGCCGGTGTCCTGCCCGGTGGAGTCGCAAGGTAGAGTCGATGGTCTTCATAAGGGGCCTGCCAGAGATTATTGTGCTAACTGTATTTTGGAGTATGTGGAAGATAGAGTGCTTTGTCCTCTGATTCAAAGCACAGGGCAAGTTGATTTGTCCCAATGTAAAACTTGGACAAAGTCTTGCACCATTGGTGTTTGATCAAAGTCAGATCAAATTCGAAAGTCTCGACAGGGGATCTGGGACTCCGTCATTTAGATTTGCATTTATGTAGATTTACACTAATTGGAAAGAACATATTCATAAACCATCCAAGAGTAAAGAAGCCGACGCCCTCAGTCACGATGCAATTAAGAGCATGTAGCTTTCTTTCATTTAAACATTTAATCAATCAACTGTTCCTTGTTAACTTAAAAGGAAATATAAATGATAATACTAATAAAAACTCTGATGAAATGTAGAGTGACAAGTGATATTTAGGTCAGCAAATGAGAACAGAGCGTCCCACTTTGCAGATCCAAATGGGACCGGGGTGATTTGCATGTATGCAAACGAGTCGTATTAATTACATAACTTAACTGTAAAAGTGCAATGCTTTCTTATCTGTTCTTGCTTCATAAGGGGCCTGCCAGAGATTATTGTGCTAACTGTATTTTGGAGTATGTGGAAGATAGAGTGCTTTGTCCTCTGATTCAAAGTGACAAAACCGTTTTATGTTTGACCTTGTGGAACATGCTCGATTTATAATGACCGCTTTCACAACACTCTTCTGCCATTATTCTCTCGCTTTGTAACCTTAGAGAAAGATTGTGCTTACAGAACAAAACACAGATCATTAGAGTCTTTTTTAAGGGCAATGAAATCTTGTGAATGTACCTTACTTACTTCTCACCAAACATCTTAGGTTTTACAACTCATGCATTATCCAAACCACAAGAAATTTCTGTTATAACCATTTTGAAACACTTTCTATCTTTAAAAAAAATACAATAGCTA